TGGTTCCAGGGCCAGGCAGGACCTTCACTGCCATCAACTGTGCTGTTCTCCTCCACCTGCACCGTCCCCCACATCCATTCTCCTCCTTCCTTGCCCTGCTCCACACCCGACAAGGATGACCCCAGAGATGGCGACCCAGGTGCCCATGATGTCTGGCTCCCGACTGGCCAGCGGCAGGCCCCACCAGAACAGTTGGGAAGAGGAGAGGACAGAACATCCATTCCCTGCTCTCGTCTCCCTTCAGGCCGTGATTGCTGGCAGTGGCCATGTCTTTCCGAGCTCCCAAAGGGTAGCACCGCCCTGTGGGCTCTGCCCTGACTTGCTCATGTGCCCTTTCCTCCCTTGCCCTTTCAGGCCTAGAGATAGTAACCCTGCTAGTCCCTGGGGTGTTTATCATCCTTTTGATGATGCTCTTAATGTCCCTGAGGGCAGGCCCTTCCACAGATCCTTGAACCATCTGAACTGGAGCCCATTTCCTGCTGGGACTCTGAGCAGTAGACCAACAACATCAATTAATAGTGAGAAAATAGTCATCATCTTAGTCCACTCAGGCTGCTGTAGCAAAAGTACTGTAGACTGGGTGGCTTCTAAACAACAGGAATTTATTTCTCGTGGGTCTGGAGGCTGGAAGTCCAAGATCAGAATGCCAGCACGGCTGGGTGAGGGCTCTTCTCGGGGCTGCAGACTTCTTATATGCTCACATGGCAGAAGGGGCTAGGGAGCTCTGTGGGGCCTCTTTTATAAGGGTTCCACCCTCATGACCTGTACACCTCCCACAGTCCCTCTTACTAATACTATCACATCAGGAGTTAGGATATCAACAACATATGAATCTGGGGGCACAACACTCAGAATGTAGTAATCATATATATTTAAAAAACAGTTGATATAGGTATATATAGATATATACATGCATATATACATACTATTCTATATCTACCCCCCACTCCTCCACCCTAGTATGTGGAAATGCCACACTGGATGAATGTCAGACATCCTAGGGAGTGCATACCTCTCCCATGGCCCCCCCTTGCAGCTGGGCCCCTTCCCCTCCCACCAACACCACGGCAGAATGGCATTAAAACACCTATGACCCATGCCCTACAGAACTTTCCGGAAACATCTACAGCTACCAGCACTCACTGCCTCATGTCCTCCACCCCCAGCAACAGCTGTACCCACACCTTTAGATCAAACTGGTCAGCTTCTTTCCAGCTTATAGATTGCCAACTTGTCTCCAGGCCTGGGAAGTGGCAGAGTGGGTAGGACAAAAAGCAGACTTGCGAAATGAACTGGCAGCCCCTGGGTGCAGGGGGAAGGGTGGTGCTGGGGTGCATTCATTCCTCGGCATTCATTCCTTCAACCTTTGTCACAGGCCAAGAATATGCTGGGCACAGGGCCAGGCTCTGGGGACCCAGAGATGAAATGGCCAGATAAGGATTGGAGCTTTGAGAAGCTGCGTTGGCATGAAAAGAGAGAGAGAGAGAAAAGGGATGTGTGAATGCAAACCAGTTTGCTGAGCCCACATTTCTTGGCAGGAGGAAGAACTGCTCGAGGGGGAACAGCAGGTTCCCTCCACTTCAGGATGGGCAAGAGACCCAAGTGGAACTGGGAAGGCCCTGGGATAGTGTCTCAGGACCATCCCCATCTGGGCAGGAGAGCGTCATCATCCACTTGGCTGTGAATTGCAGGACATTTGTTCCTAAGGGACCAAGGAGAGCAGGGAGCCATAACACCGCAGAGAATGCTATTAGAATGGTTAATTACAGGGGACTGGCAAGCCGACTAATGGAGATACAACAGGTTGTTAACAAGACAAATGGGTTGTGTGGCCTTACTGGTGTCCTTACCAGGGAGCTGATTCACCGTTGTCCCTTACCTTCCCCCTTACCTTATCTCTCATTCTGATCATGTCCATGATGGCGAAACAGAGAAGGTGTTATCACTCTCATCTGCCCATGGCATCTGATTTTGGATAGAACTGAAGAAATCAGTTTGCTGACTAGCTCAGTACGGGGAAGCCAACTTCTGGGTATAAGGTGCCTAGTGGCAGGACGTAGCCTGAAAGACTCCACTCTGGGCAGCAATCCAGAGAGCAGATAAAAGGTTGGTTCCTGGAATCACATCTGTTGGAAACTTCCTGGTGGTCACAGGTTTAGAGAAAATTCTTATTCCTCAGATGTGTTGTTCAATGCCTCAGGTCATAGCAAGGGAGGAAAACTTGGAAAAACAACATGAGAGGGATACTGTGGAAGTTCACCCAAAACCCGGGTGTCTGAAAGCTACACCAGGAGAAGACAGATGTCAGTGTGAAGCAGAAGCAAACACACAGGCCTGAACAATGGCCCTCCTCAATCTTTGTGGCCTCTGCCATTTAATTCCTGGCACAGGTGACCTTTAAAATGCTACAGTGTGGATGAAGAGATACAGTCAGGTGGGTTTCATGAAGCTGCTGGCTTTTTGAGCCAAGGGACAGGAGGACAGGAGAAGAGATGATATGCATCAGCCACTGGAGGTGAAAAGTAAACACTGTCAGTATAAATAATTAGGCTCTTAAAGAGAGCTTTTCACACCCTTTCGTGGGCACCCATGGGAGCTGAGAAGGGGAAAAGAGAATGAGCATAATGTGCTGAGCTTACCCTTCCCCTCTCCATTCATCTTTAGGGAATGATAAGAGGCACTAAGAGGGGACAGGGGAGAGTGGATGAGGGTCCAAAGACCCCAATGACTTGTCTGAAGATATTGTGTACCTTGTATATAGGTGCATTTGTCTGACTTTTGCAGGGCTTTAGAATAACCCACTCCTCTAAAGTTTAGAAGAGCCCATCTCTAAGAGATGTAAAAACAAGCAACACAGAACAAGGAAATGCAGGCATTCAGATCCCCAGGGCTGGAACCGCATCTATCTCAGCCACCACTGACTTCCATGTAACGCGGAGGCTGGCACAGAGGATGCGTTCTGTCAGCGTGGAAGCACAAACAAAGGAACAAACAGCAGACAGCCAGGCCAACAGCCCCCACGCTGTGCTGCCTGGCCCACAGCGCTGTCAGCCAGCGTTTCTCGAGCAGCTTCTAGGGATCAAGAACTTTTTGTCCCTTAACTCATTCCATCCTCTGGGCCATGCTGCAGAGGAGGAACTGTTATCCCCACCTTACAGATGTGGAAACCTACATTTACTGGGGTAAACCTACTGCCCAGCTGCCCAGCTGGCTAAGAGCAGCAGGGGGATGTGACCCTAGAGCCAGCTGCTCAAGAGGTCATAGTTATCCACAACTGGAGGGAAGGGCAATATGGGTGCTCTCTCAGAGGAGGCCCCATGGGTCCGGACCTTCAGAAATGAAGGCCCAGATGCCCAGCTGGTCAGACAGGTAGGTGACCACAGGCCGAGGCCCAGAGAACAAGCCCTGTTCCCTCTCCATTTGACATGCCACTTTCAGGAGAAGGTGAAACATGGGCTGAAGCAACTCGAGCCACAGCTGAGGAGATTGGAACGTGCCCCAGGCCTCCCAAGGAGCTACTGGGAAGATGCACCAAGGTCCTCATGACGCCTGAGATGCTGCTTTCCAGTTAAAACCACCAAACTGTGCCTGACACTGAGGGCCGCACTCTAGTTTCGGAGGCCAAACTTGAACTTTCTACTTGCTGACTGAAGGGAGGACCATTCAGGAGCAGACAAGCTCAGGTGCCTGACCTGGAACCAGCCAACAGGAAAGTGGCCGTGATGGAATTCGGTGACTCCCAGGCTCTGCAGGACACTCTGTGGCTAACAGGCCTTGACACGGCTGGCTTTTCTCTCCTCCCAGTCTCCCACCCCCACACTCACACCAGATCCCTGGAGTGGCTCACGAGGTGACAACTGGGTGTGAACATATGGAGCTGATGGGACCACAGGGCATGTCAGGAGGATGGTGGCCCCCCAGTCTCACCATCCCAGGGAAGAAGTTTTTCCAGCTGCTGGGCAGTGCCACATGCCCAGATGGGTGTCCACAACTGGGGATTGCAGAAAGAAACAGGTGGCACACAGACAAACTTTTTTTTGCGCATCTATATATAAAGATACATATAGATGTGTGTGTGTGTGTGTGTGTGTGTGTGTGTGTGTGTCTGTGACTGACTAATGTGACTTTGGGATAAACACCCAGCCTCACCCATATTTGACTAGGCTCTGGGGCCAGAGAGCCTGCATGTGAATCAGTGTGACTTTACCTCTTGGGCTGGTGACTTTACCTCTCTGGGCTTCAGTTTCCTCATATGTTAAGTGGGGAAAATACCACAGTGCAGAGCCGCCCTCTGGAAGTTAATACTGACTAGGTTAATATATTCAAAGTGCTTGCACAGCGTTCTGGCCTATGCTAAGCATTCTCCAAGTGATCCTTGTTATTATGATAGCACAGTCATTATTGTTCATAAGAATGCTAAATTTACTTATGTTAAAAAAGTGGTAATTTTTAACCACTGGATAAGTGGCATGTGAATGATTGTAATTTGGGGAACACTGGATTTCTGGCTGATGTTGTCAGTCTGTCCTCTTGCCTTGTGCCTGCAGTCCCAGTGGGCTCCTCATGTGCTGCATGTCCCCAATGACACGCTGTGCCCAAGGAGCCTTTACCAAGTGCAGCCAGCTCTCTAGGTGGCCTCCCTGCTGCTTGGAGGCACGTGGGAGTGGGGAAGAGGATGCCCATTGTTCCCCAGCAAGCTCCTCCAGCTTATCTCTGCTCCACCTTGACCCAACTATCTCTCCTGGCTCCTACTAGAAACCTAGAGGGTTTAGAAGAGCCCATCTAAATCTTCATGATCTCTGCCATTTAATTCCTGGCACAGGTGACATTTAAAAGGCCACAGTGTGGATGAAGAGATAGTCAGGTGGGTTGACCTGACTCATCTGATGGCAAGAGATTCATGAAAACTTTAGCCCTTCCTACTCTCTGCCCACACCTCTGGCCTTGAGAAAGCAGTCTATAGCACCCAGATCCCATGGGATACTAGGCCAAGGGCTTACCTCAGACTTGCAGGTAGCTGGGCAAAGCATGCCAGCTACATGCCTGCAAACCAGCCCTGGCTGGATGGGCCCACGCTCTGCCCCTTCAGTGTCCGAGGGAGGTGCTCCTAGCACGCTCACCACACTCCGTTTGTGGAAATAAAGGGGAGCACTCTATTTCTGCCTCCAGGGTCCACTCTGAAGTGAACTTTGGAAGGCTTCTGTTTTGCATGTCAGTACCAAATGTCCTTGGAGGGGAACCAAGATTAACTTTCCTTATCTTGAAGTCGGCCTGACAGTCAACTGGCTCATGGCAAAGTTCCACTGCAGTCCGAGAAATCCAAACCATCCTCGAGCACCTAAGCTCCCTACCAAATTCTTCCGAGGCAGGGGCAGCCAACTGAGCCCCAGTGACCCCAGCCCTGCCTGCACGGGGGCATGGGAGCAGGTGGTCCATGACCGTTGGAGTCTATGGTGTCTGACAAGCATGAACCAGGGCTTCTTCACACACGCTGAGACCCCTGCACACTAGGCCCCCTTGGGAAAGGGAGTGATGGGAAAGGGTTAGGGAGACCGTGGGGGCCCCCAAATCCTTGGGAGCCTCTGAAAGGCTCCGAGACTGAAAAGAAGAAACTAAACCTGAGCAAGGCCCTGGACTTAGGAAGGTTGAGGCCTTAGTCAGAGTAGTCAAAACAGTGTGCAACTGGCAGAGGAGTAAACAAACAGATCAAGGGGACAGACCAGAGGGCCCCAAAGATTGATGCCTAGAACACAGTTTCCAGGGCCTACCAACTGGTTGTGGAGAAAAATGGCCTCTTCCATAAATGATGCTGGGAAAGCTGGTTAGCCATTTGTTGGGGGAATAAAATTAGGTCATTGCCTACACCATCCACACACAAAAAATAAATTTCAGGTGGATTAAAAATGGGATGGTTTTAAAAATTATATGAACACTCTGTTAAGTAAAATACCCAGTCACAGAAGGACAAATACTATATGATCCTATTTCATGAGGCACTAGAATAGTCCAGTTCAGAGACAGAAAATAGAATGGTGGGTGCCAGGAATTATGAGGTCAGAGGACAGGGAGGTTGGTGTTTCATGGCACAGTTTCATGTTGGGAAGATGAAGAGCTCTGGAGATGGGTGGTGGTGATGGTTGCTCGACAATGTAAATGTAGTAAATGTATTTAATGCCACTGAACTGTAATACTTAAAAACTTGTCACAATGGTGAATTTTATTATAGTTAAAAATAATTTTTGTCTTATTTTTAAAAATCATATGAGCATTAACTAAAAATTATATAAGCACAACAATACAAGAGAATAGTTTTCATAATTATAGGGTGGGGAAGGCCTTTTCGGTGTCTTAAGCAAGACATGAAATCTAGAACCCATAAAAGAAAAGGTTGACAGAGTTTTAAAGTCACAGTTGTGTTGATTGACAAAGGTTGTGAAGGAACGTTTTAATGACAATCAGAAGAACAAGAGGTTCCTAAACCTCAGCCACCTTCTTCCCAAGTTTGTCCTTGTCATACAATACTTATTTTATTATTGACCTATTTTTCCTTTAAACTCTTCTTTCAATCAGCTTAAGTGAGGTATGCTTTACATACAGTAAAATGCACCCACGTTAAGTGTCCATTTCCTGGAGTTTTGACAAACTTATATACCCATGTAAACTCATTTCAATCAAGACAAAAGTCTTTCCCTTCATCCTCAAAAACAGTGCTTTTTGGGTCCCTTCATGTCATCCGGGCTCTAACAGGATGCTTACTTTTGTGACAATGGGCCTTTTCTAAGAAAGTCATATAGATGGAATCAGAGAGCAAGCAGTCTTTCTTTCTGCTTTCTCTCACTTAACACAATGCTCTGGAAGCATATCCATGTTGTGTGTCCTTGATAATATAGGTTGTTCCTTTTCCTTATGCATTGAGGAGGGTATATGTTCCTTATGCATTGAGGAGGGTATATGGAAATGCCACAATTTCTTAATTTATTCACCTGTTGATGAACATTTGGGTTGTTTCCAATAATGGAGCTATTATGAATAATACTGTTATGAACATTTGCATATACATCTTATCGTGGATATATCCTTTCACTGCTTTTGGGCAAATACCTAGAATGGAATTGCTGGGTCATATGGTAAATGTACATTTTAAACTGATATTTAACTTAAATACATTTTGAAAGGAAACCTGATGACATTACTTTAATTGAAAGGCAGTATGACTTGCCATAAATCAAAGATTACATAATAATAAAAACACCAAGATTTAAATACATATAATAGTGTTGGTTTTTGTATGCAACTACTGAGTATATTATGCAAAGCATTGTTCTTAGTGTCTGAAAGATACTCTTGCCTGCAAAGGCTTTGAGCCTTAGCTACTCCCAGAAAACTCTTGTTAAAGAGGAAGATTAGCAGGTATTAGAGAGGAGCTGAAGATTGGGCTAGGTAGTCTCTGAGGGAGGGAATGACTCTTACTCAGTGTTGCTTAATGTCATGCCACCTGTAATCATCACCCATGCCTCAAAGAGCAGAAAGGAAGGCTGACACAGGGAGCTAGGCTTGACCACCTCTGATATTGTTCACCTTCTTGGTCAAGGAGAAAGGTCGTACAGCTATACATATACATTTACTTTTTCAAAAATTACAAGCTCTTATGGGCCAAGCACTGCTGTAAGCACTTTACAACTTCAGTTCATTTATGGTAGGTAGGGCAGAGCGACTCTTTATAAGAGGTGAAGAGAATATGAAAAGCACACTTAGCTGTTCTCGATGAGAATAAGCGTTTTGACCCAGGTCAGTAACCTCCCAAATAATATGCATGCAAGATAGCAGAGCCCATACTCCAATCAGAAGCCATGCTCAGAGTCGAGCCTGGTCAGGATGCTCCTGGGCCCCTGTGACCTTTATGCCTACTGGCTCTAATGTCCAACCCCACAGCATAGAGGTGGTAGCCTACTGTTGCCTACAGTCACGGATCTGGAATCAGATCTAGGTAGGTGTCCAGGTCCTGCCACTTACCAGATGTACAATCTTAAGCAAGTAACTTAGCCTCTCAGGGCTCAGTTTCCTCATCAGTGAGAGGGGAATAAAAATAATACCCATTTATAGGCTCTGTAGATTAACTGGACGAATGGTAGGAGATGACACAAAAAGCATTTAGCCTGATGCCTAGCAAGTAGTCCTGATGAATGTCGGGTGTTGTTTTAACAATAATATGAAGTGCTAATACAAAGGGTGCTCTGTGGGTAAAGGAGTTTTATTTGTAGGTCTTCAGTCTGTCAACAACCTGCTATTGTTGTAGCCACTATGTACCTGGCACTGTCTTAGACTCTGGCTTCCTAGTGATGGAAAAAGAAACAGACGTGGTCCTTCCCGTCATGAAGCTTGTCCTCAGTGGGAGACGGAAGTAAGCATGAAAATAATAGATAAATAAGATAATTTCAGGTTCCAATAAGAGCTGTGAAGTTGATAAACTAGAATAATCTAGTATAAAGAAATTAGGTATTTCAGAAGGGACTCCCTGAGGATCAATGAAGTTGAGACCTAAATGACAATGAAGAGTCAAAAGAGGCCTTGAAAAGATGGGACAGGGAAATAAAATCAGGTTGAGCTTTCCAAGATAAAAGATTAGCATGTGCAAAGGCCCTGAGCTTACTGGGCTTGAGGACAGAATAGGCTAGAGGTGAGAGGTAGGTGGAAACCTGATTATCCAGGGCCTAGAAAGCAAGAAATTTATATTTATTCTGGTTGGAACAGAAATATTTTTCTTAAAGTGTTTTAAGCCAGAAAGATGTAACTGGATTTGAGTTGCAGGAAGATGATTCTATCCACTGTGCAAAGTATGAACCCCAGGGGCAACAGCAGAAGCAAGGAGGCTAATTCAGAGGCTGTTAGAGGAATCCAGTCAAGAGATATTGGTGGATTAGACTTGACTGGTCACTGTGCAGTTGGTGAGAAGCGGTCCCGTTCAGGATGCATTTTGAAGTAGGAGACAACAGACACATGGATGGATTAGATACAGAGTATGAGCAAATGGGGAGAGTCAAGAAGAGCCCTCAGTTCTTTCCACCAGCGACTGGCACACAGTGTTGCTACTTCCTAAGATGGAGGACGAGGAGGAGAAGAAGTAATATTTGGAGAATTTGAAGTTTAAGGTATTCTGATGGATGGCAGTCACGGATGGCAGCATCTGGATCACAGGGAGAGATCCAGGCTAAAATTAAAATTTCAGATTAAAATATAATGTATTCCGATTAACATGTATAGTGTCAGGGGGGCATGGGGAGGGCTGTGCAACACAGAGAAGACAAGTAGTGATTTTATAGCATCTTACTATGCTGATGGACAGTGACTTGGTGAAGGGGGGAGCCTAGTAAACATAATGTCCTTCATGTAATTGTAGATTAATGATACCAAAATAAAATTAAAAAATACACATATATATAATGTATTCTAAAACTATGGGAGCAGGTAACATCACCCAGAGAGAGAATGGTTCGAGAAGAGAGGCCGAGCTCTCCAACATTTCACGGCACAGGAGAGAAATATATTTGAGAGAGGCTGCAGACCACATTCCCCTCGTGGAGAATTTAATGCACACCAGCAAATTAAATGCTCTGATAAGACTCATAGTTAGTAAAGTAGGCTGCCTACACTTGCTTAACTTAGTATTTCCCAAATAATTTTGATCATGGAAACCTTTTACATATAAAACTGATTGGCAGATCGAGAGGTCAAACATGAGTGCAATCAGGGTGATGTGTGTCCCAGAGAACATCAAGAACAGGGGCCAGCAGACTTCTTCTGGTCTGCCACATAGCACAGAGTTCAGGCTTTCCGGGCCCTGTGGCCTTGGTCGCAAGTGTTCAGCCCTGCCAGTGTAGGACACAAGCAGTCCCAGACGACCTGTAAATGAACAGGCATGGCTGTGTTCCAGTAAAACTGCATTTCCAAAACCAGGCAGCAGGCCAGATGTGGCTCATGGTCCATAGTTTGTTGACGTCATCCCCTGATGTAGGATAAAGAGATCTAAAGAAGGGGAAAAGTGGAGGGAGGTGTGATACAGGGAAGAGAACAGGGCAGAATGGGAGGGAGAGTGAGGAGCTGCTTGGCTGGAGGCAGGCGCTGCCCTTGGGTATGGGTCTCCCCGTCACCTAGGAGGGA